TTAAAAACATTCTTGGTAATGACAACTAATGTTTTTAAAATGATTTGGATGTATGCTGCAGACTGAGCTCTACCAATTAATGATATTTATTATATGTGGGGTGTAGAAAAGCAGGATTAGATTTAAGCACAGTGATGGAATAGCAATTCTGGTGCATGCTGTATGGAAGGCCATTTTTGTGGCTGCCACTGTTGCTCTACAAACTAAATGGGATTTGGTATTGCTTTTGTTTGCATATATTTATCTTGGATGATTGGGGAGAATGCAAGTATATCTGCTATTGCTTTTAAGTCATTTTAATTTTTGTGAGAAGATATTCCCAGTGTGGCTAAGAGCTTATGCTCTTTAATCCCTATAAGCTGTTAGTTAAGACCAGGATATTATTTAACTAAAATAAAGATGCAGATACCAAACACATTTTAGGATTCTTTAGCTCCACAGGAAAGGTCAGGTTCTTGAATCCTAGCATGCTCCCCCAAACCCCTGGAATGTTCAAATATCAATGTCTCTTCTCAATAAGTCTTGTTATTTTTAGTAGCAAAGAAAGAAGAGCTAACCCATGTGTAGCTCTTGTCAGTTTACAATGCATTGCACACACATTTTATTTGATCTATGCAGCATCCTTGGAAGGGAGTAGAGCTGATGTTATATCCACTTACAAGTAGGAAGGTAGAGATCCCAGGACATTAGTGAGTTGCCCAAGGTTACACTGCTAATAAGTGACGCTCAAACTCAAGCCTTATGATTCTAAATCTGACTCTAGCACTCTCCCGTGTTCTTATGCCCCTTATAAATAAAGAGACCCATCTAATATCTTATTAGATACAGAAAGCCAATCAAGGCAGATGGATTTCTAAAATTTTTATTTCAAAACTTTTTGTTTATTTATTTGAGAGAGAGAGATTGAGAGTGCACACACACGTGTGAGTATGAGTGGGGGAGGGATAGGAGGAAGGAAAGAATCCCAAGCAGATTCCATGTTGAGCATGGAGCTCTACACTTGGGGCTCGATCCCAGGACCCTGAGATCATGACTTGAGCCAAAATCAAGAGTCCATATTACTTAACTGACTGAGCTACTCAGACACCCCTAAAACTTTTGATTTTAACCACACAGCCATTTAGGGAAGAAAATTTCTAATGTGGGGCATGACCATCTTTTAGTCTGAGGCTGTGGATCTTTTACACATCATTGTATTGGTCCTAGTTTGTTTTTATTTTGGAAACAATGTAAAAGTGTTCTGTTCTACAACAAACATGTACATGTGGAGAGATGAAAAAAATTACAGTTTATAGTGCTGAATGCCATGTGAAATTTTTGGGTTTTGAGGGGTTTGCTTTTTTTTTTTTTTAAAGAGTATCTATTTGAGAGAGAGTGTGTGAGTGGGGGTGGGGAGGGCCAAAAGGGAGAGGGAGAGAATCTTAAGCAGATATTTCATGCTATCCCTGAGCATGGAGCCCAGTGCAGGGCTTGATATCACAACCCTGGGATCATGACCCGAGCCAAAATCAAAAGTCTGATGCTTAACTGACTGAGCCACCCAGACGCCCTTGCCATGTGAAATATTTAATTGAAAATACTTTGTAGGGGTACCTGGGTGGCTCAGTGGTTGAGCGTCTGCATTTGGCTCAGGATGTGATCCCAGGGTCCTGGGATCAAGCCCCACATCAAGAGCCTGCTTCTCCCTCTGCCTATGTCTCTGCCTCTCTCTCTCTCTGTCTCTCCTGAATAAATAAATAAAATCTTAAGAAAAGAAAATACTTTGTAAATATTATTATATTGCTCAAGAATTAAAATTTGAGATAAAGGTCATTTTAAAAGAAGAGGTCCTCTATCAATAATTCATTCAACCAACAATATATATTAAGTCAGTAGGACTCTAGAATAAATGAGAAACAACCTGTTCTCAGGAAGCTCATAGTCTAGGTTGACATTTTATGTACACTGTATAACACAGCTTCATAAATCCATGGACCACATTTCTCTTTAATGATGAAAAAGTATTTTAATAAACAAGTTATAAGAAATGAGTTCATTTGGCAAGTGAACTTAGATTTTACCACTTAGATTATTCTGAACCATGGTCAGAGTGTGTCAGTACAATCCTAGTACCCTTTGTGTTTCACAGAAAATCATAAATCTGTTTTGCAGTTTCTGTGCAGAGGTCCTAAATTTGAACTTAAACCACTGGTCATTGTTAAAACCCATGGCAACTAATAACTTAGAACATTAAAGTCAGCAGACCTTGATCCTTTTTGTTCATGTTCTCCATACTGTGCTCTGAAATGTAGAGTGTTACATGTTTTCTTTCTACATAATTATTTACTCTGGGTAAATATGGGTGGTGTGTACAAATTTTGGAATTTGAAATTTGAGTGGGCCTGAAGATCACAAAACTCTTCAGTGGCAGAGTATGGACTGAAACCCAGGTTTACTGACACCTAGCTTTCTCTCTTCCTGCCAGCCTGTGCTAGACTTCCTAATTTAGCATATAAGACATTTAATTGTGGTCTTCTTAGAAGAATTTTACATGAGATTTCTTTATTTAGTGGTGGATGGATGTAAAATTTTTTTCTTATTGTGTAAGTTTACTCTACTTTTGTGTCATCCAAGGCTTTGGCCTATTTTTTACTCTCATTAGATATGACTGATTAGTGTCTGAGTGGCTCAGTTGGTTCATCTGCTTTCTGCTCAGGTCATGATCCCAGAGTCCTGGGATCAAGCCCAGTCGTGTTGCCTGCTTAGCAGGTATTTCATTTCTCCCTTTACCTCTACCCCTCCCCCATCTTGTGCTCTCTCTTACTCTCTCTCTCTCAAAAAATCTTTTTAAAAAATTAAATAAATGTATTGATATTCTTGTGATCAACTTTTTAAACTTGAAAAATAGGGATCCCTGGGTGGCGCAGCGGTTTGGCGCCTGCCTTTGGCCCAGGGCGTGATCCTGGAGACCCAGGATCGAATTCCACATCGGGCTCCTGGTGCATGGAGCCTGCTTCTCCCTCTGCCTATGTCTCTGCCTCTCTCTCTCTCTCTCTCTCTCTCTCTCTCTGTGACTATCATAAATAAAAAAAATTAAAAAAATAAACTTGAAAAATAATATAAAATATATACTTAAAATATTTTGAGATATATATAACACATTGGGATGCCTGGGTGGCTCAGCGGTTGAGTGCCTAGCTTTGGCCCAGGGCATGATCCTGGAGTTCTGGAATCGAGTCCCACATCAGACTTCCTGCATGGAGCCTGCTTCTCCCTCTGCCTATGTCTCTGCTCTCTCTCTCTGTGTCTTTCATGAATAAATAAATAAAATCTTCTTAAAAAAAGATATATAACACATAAACTATATTTTAAAATACATTAACTATATATGTTGAATCCTAGTTATATTTAATATTTAGTTACATTTATTTTATACCTATATTTAGATAACCTTAATTACCTAAAATACGAATCTATTCTACTTGGTGAGCCATCTGAACATTCCCTATGTATTAATGTATGTTAATTACATACATTAATATTAGCTCTTTAAGGAAAGGCATTCCTGCTGTCACTTTGATGTTAGTCCTTGGCGCTAATGTTTCTTCAGAGCAGAAACCTTTTTGAATCCTAGCTCTGCCACTTAATAACCATGGAACTTATTTATGCTTTAGTTTCACTGTCTATGAAATGGGAATAAAGATATTAACTAACTCAGTTGTACAAAGTGAATGAGTATGTGTGAGAGTGCTTAGATGAGTGTCTGGCACACATTTAAAACCATGTAAATGCCATCAGCAGCTATTATCATCATCATCATCATTGTTATTGTTATTCTTTGACAGAATAAGGTGAGGAAGTTTTTCAAGAATGGGCTTTATCCTCTCAAGCCCTGAACATTGCTCTAAACTAAAGATAGAAAGATAAAAGAAAGAAAGTTGCTAAACCTTTGTTAATTTTATTTATTTATTTTTTATTTATTTATGATAGTCACACACAGAGAGAGAGAGAGAGGCAGAGACACAGGCAGAGGGAGAAGCAGGCTCCATGCACCGGGAGCCCGACGTGGGATTCGATCCCGGGTCTCCAGGATCACGCCCTGGGCCAAAGGCAGGCGCCAAACCACTGCGCCACCCAGGGATCCCTAAACCTTTGTTGATCATTAGCTGTGTGCTAGGCAATGACCTAGCGTTCTTTTTTTTTTAAGATTTTTAATTTGTTTATTCATGAGAGACACACAGAGAGAGGCAGAGACACAGGCAGAGGGAGAAGCAGGCTCTATACAGGAAGCTTGATGTGGGACTTGATCCCGGAGACTCCAGGATCACACCCTGAGCTGAAGGTAGATGCTTAACCGCTGAGCCACCCAGGCGTCCCATGACCTAGCATTTTACCTACATTATTACTTAGTCCTTTTACCAGTGCCCTGAAGTATATTAGAAAACAATCTCAGACAAATAAACTTGCATAAGATCTTGTACTAGTAAGTGGACACCATGATGATAACTGGTCTTTGTTACTCTGCATCCTGTACTCTTGCCTTTCATGACACCAGAAACATGAGAATTCAGCAAGTTTCCCTAGGAGGTAAGCTTGAAATTTGCTTGCTAGGGACTTTATTTTTAATGACCATTTAAAGGATGTTCCATTTTCGTTTGTTCCTACTATAGTGATTTGTTTTATGTATCTGTAATTCTACCCCTTCCCATTCAAAAGTATATTGCAGTAGTTTAAATGATGTAAGTGGAACTGAGATGGCAAATATTTGGACATATGGAGTCTTATTAATAGTTGTCAGAATTAAGCTGAATTATAATTTCCCATTTTTCAAGATCACTATCACAATTATTGAAGTCATTACTCCTGAAATTAATAGCAGTTTCATAGGGCTTTTAAGCCTAAACTCCATGTAGCTGCATGTCCTAGGTACTGACCCTTTTTTGAATTTATAAATAAAATTCATGAAATTGCTTTTTTCTTGCTGTATATTAGCTCAACCTTATGGATTGTTTCCCCTATAGGTAATAGAGAAGAGGAAACCTAATCAATGGCAGTGGAATAATATGGAAGAAGATGGAAAAAACTTGTTTAATGGGTAAGAATAAAACTATAATAAAAAGGTTAATGAAAATTATTCTTAATAGTGTTATGTATGGCCAATCTGTAGCAAGTAGCCAAGGTTGGTATACCCTTCATGTGAGTGATCAGTTACTATATTTGTCTTATTCCCCTTCTGAACTTTTACCACCTTCTTTCTTCATACTGTTGTGAATTTCTCAGTTCTATGAGTTAACTTAAACTAAGAGAGGATACAGCCATATTTGAAGATAAAGGTAGGATCTGGAGATCAGGCACATATTAAAACAAGTCTAGGGTAGGTCTTGAAGCTTTGGTGGCTGGATTCTCTTTTTCCAAATACTACCAGCTGCTGTGATGTTAGGCTTATGGTGGCAGTCCTGCTTGTTTAGGCAAGAGCAGATTGTGTCCATGGAATTCCGCAGAAGGTCTGATAGAATGTGTGATTAAATTAATGAGATATAAAATGTTTTAATCCTACAAGTCCATACATTTTTATTGTCAATAATTCAAACATTATAGATAACCAAAACCCTCTACCTAAGTCTTAGCCCCTTCCCAGGGTATGTAAGTGTATGATATGTATTTGTGCAACCTTCTTCTTTGCCTAATTTTTCAAAACTTGGGTTTAGAAGCTGTGCTGTTTTTGACTAGCCATCATTAACTTGATATTTGGGCAACTTAATTTCTTAACAAACTTAATTCTTGGGTGTAAGTGGGGACCGTAAAATTCCTGTCTCATCGTGATGTTGAGGATTAGTTGGATAATACATCTAAAAAACTTGGAATAGGGGTCCCTGGGTGGCGCAGCGGTTTGGCGCCTGCCTTTGGCCCAGGGCGCGATCCTGGAGACCCGGGATCGAATCCCACGTCGGGCTCCCGGTGCATGGAGCCTGCTTCTCCCTCTGCCTGTGTCTCTGCCTCTCTCTCTCTCTCTCTCTCTGTGTGACTATCATAAATAAATAAATAAATAAATAAATAAATAAATAAATAAATAAATAAATAAATAAATAAATAATAAAATTAATAAAACTCTGCATCTTTAAAAAATAAAAAATAAAAAAAAAATAAAAAACTTGGAATAATGCCTGGAACATAGTAAGTGTTGAGTAAATGTTAACTATAATTTTGTTATGTATTCTAGTTAGCATTTTTATGTGCTAGCCCTCTACAGATTAATCTTTTTCTGATATAGTACAGGAGGTAAGTCATCTTGTAGAAGGTCAGCCCTAGAGGCAAGAATTTTAAATTTTTTCATGAAAATTTTCTTTCTGGCTTTAAGCTTTGATTCTTTCAGAGTCTGCTGCTAGGCTATGTGTGAGAACAGTTATACACCTTCAGCTCTTACTGCATATGTTGTGGTGTGTATGATGCTTACAGATATGCATGAACTACCTTCTGGCTGTGATAATTTTATCTTGCCCATAGAAGTATCTGTGTTAAAGCAGGTTGCATGATTCTCTTGTTTCTAGATAGGTATGTCAAATTTTGTTACGATTCCTTCAGTCTATGTTGACAGAAAAGTCTTCATTAAATTTCTTCTCTCTTGTTTCACAGAATTGTAATACTTATGAAAATGTCTTTGGTGTCTTTTCCATGACTTGTCAGCACTTTTTAGGTAGTGCAGACAATTACCTATTTTTAAGAAGGAAGGACACTAAGATAGTCATCTCTTCTTAATATTTTCCTTCTATATTGTCCTGGAACTTTATTAGATTATTATGAACTATTCTGTCTGCTGTGACTATCTTAGAAGACTAATATATAAAAATAGAAGTTAACATTTACTGAATACTTTTTATGTGGCAGGCACTTTTTGAAGTGTTTTACCCACTTATTCATTATCTCATGTAATCCCATCATCTACTTACAAGGCAGATACTGATATTAATCTTCATTTTAAAAGTTGAGGAAGCTGAGGCACAGATTAAGTAATTTGCCCAAAGTCAAAATTGCAAGTGGCAGATTTCAGATTCAAACCTAGATCCTCTTTTCCAGAGCCTATAACTGCTGGCCTAGTTAGTAAAACTCATATAAAGTTTGTTAAGGTGGGTGTAAATTTAAATAAGATGATAAAACCAAATATTTCCTGAACAAGTCACCATAACTAATCTGATTTTGCTTGCCTGTGGGAAGGAAAATTTGAAATCATGTCTCTTCTTAAGTATGGGAAAAATGACAATATGAGATGATTATCCATAAATAATTATTTGTCTTGGACCATCCTTAAATGAATACAGCTGTTTTGCTTCTTTATGAATCATTTGTAGTAGTTAGAAAATCACTTGCACCTAGCAAAGGACTAATATTAATATGTATGTATGTTTAAAAGGGATTAGAATGAGTTGATTTGTAGATTGCCAGTTAGCTGCTATTTGTAGAAACGTGCTCTCAGAAAGATTGAGCTGTGCAGCAGTTTGGAACTGATTAGTGATTGGAAATTGTTCTTTTGTCCTGTTAAATAATATTTGAATGACAGAAGAAAGTTATGCAAGGAAAGGAAGGGCAGGAGAGAGGTGACTTATGGATCTTATAATTAGCATGTCACTTAGAAGTAATGGTCTAAAAAGTCAATGTACATTAACAATCGACATTTGTCTAGGAACTGGAAAGAATTCTAATACATGGTTTTCATTCTGGGCTATATTTTGTTAGAATCGTTGGCTTTTCTTCACATAGCAATTCATTCTCCATTGAAATATGGTAAAGTACAAAGGATAAGCAACATTTACAATAACAACTACAGGGGCACCTGGGTGGCTCAGTGGTTGAGCATCTGCCTTTGGCTCAGGTCATTATCCTAGGGTCCTGGGATTGAGTCCTGCATTGGGCTCCCCACAGGGAGCCTGCTTCTCCCTGTCTCTCTCATGAATAAATAAATAAAATCTTAAAAAAAAAAAAAGAATAAAGTGTGGCCATATATGGTCAGCATGTTTTCCTTTCTCCTCTCCATCTTAACACCCATTTCCTGTTTGAGAATCCCTTCTAAATTTTTTTTTTTTTTTTTTTAATGATAGGCACATAGTGAGAGAGAGAGAGAGGCAGAGACACAGGCAGAGGGTGAAGCAGGCTCCATGCACCGGGAGCCCGACTTGGGATTCGATCTGGGGTCTCCAGGATCGCGCCCTGGGCCAAAGGCAGGCACCAAACCGCTGTGCCACCCGGGGATCCCGAGAATCCCTTCTAATTGTTGATCAAAGTTACAGCTTTTAGCATACATCTCTTTTACAACAGTGTCTTAAGGAGTGGTCTGGGAGCCCGTGAGACTCTTTCAGGAGTCAAAGCTATGTTCATAATAATACTAAAACATTACTTGCTTGCAAGTCTGTAGTGGAGTTTTCCAAAAACTGCGTGGTGTGTAACCAATTGAATACAGAAATAGGAGAATCTGGCTGTTTTCCTTAATTCAGACATTGAAAAGATTTGCAGAAATGCAAAAGAAGACCACTCTTCTCTAGATTTTCAGTGAGAAGTACTAAGGTTTGTTTCTATGTTAGAATGTAACCATGACCCCAGTCTGGGCCAGAAGGTCATGGTGCTCCTGTCTAGTAATTGAGTGGATTGTGAAAGGTCACAAGTAGTGCCTACCACACAACACCTCCGTGTACATTCTAGGGACATCCTGATAGGCTGAAGCTATGTCTCCTAGCCTAGAGAAGTGAGACTCATGCTCTTTTTTCATAATTGTGCTGGGGGGTATATTCCAGATTATGGAAGCTCTGGAAATCTGGAAAAAGGAGGGCTTCACTTTAAGTAGGAATACCATCCAACCTTTCCAGTGATCTCACTGATACGTGCCATATTTGGAGTGTTCTTTGTGTTGGTTGCTCCCTACTTTAGGAGGACCAGAAGGACCTTACAGGATAGCTGTTGTTTGTTTCGTTGTTTTGAGCATCTATGTTGCAGACAAGTTCTAGGGGCTGGAAGTAAGTCAGTAAGCAAAATAAAAACAAAAACACTTCTGTCCTCATGAAGCTGCCATTCCAGCTCTGGAATCCTTTGCTGTAGTCACACCTCCCTTTCCAGGACATTTCAGAATTGGCAATAGACGCTGTGATGCTCAAGCCTCTGTGTCTTGAGCACTGACTGATATTTCTCAGTGGCTGACTGCTGAGGATAAAGTGGAAACTGCTTGACATTTTGTGATGTTTTTAAGTTATTATTATTTAAAAGAAGTACCAAATGGTTTGGAATTTTTCAAATCATATATGAAACACTAGCCTATCTAGTTCACCTTATTGTGGCTGTTTTAATCTTATTTTGTTTTCAAGTTAGTGCCATTTTTGTTAAGAACCTTAACTTAAAAAAATTAAATACCAACTTATGTTAAATTTATTCTAATTGTTTTTCATTATTTGAAGAAAAATGTTCATACATGCATGAGATTTTCCTTGCCTGGTGTGTTGCTCCCAAGACCCTGTAATTTGTTTAATAGACTTTTGTACAGAAAGAGATTACTTGGCTCATTAGATTGAGTCACTTAATAATGACTTGAAGGTTAACTAATGCGGCCATCAGACTCCTGCTCACCGGCTGGACGTCTATCATATCACTAACTTCAGTCATTTCCAACTGCAGACGATTGGGAATACCATTAGAATATTAATGGAAAAAGAAACTGACATTCAAAATGTGAATGACCAAAAATTATCTCTAAAGATTATTTTAATTTTTAAGATACACTTTAATAGAAGCTCCTTTTTTTTTTTTTTAATTGGGCGGCATTGTGACCTTCCTTTTATTGAAGGTGTTAAAGGAGCTTTTTAATCAGAATACACCAAACAGCTGTTGTCTCTTCAGTGCTGCTACCTGCCAGGCTCCCAGTTTCCAGCTGTGCCTGGTGTTCCCAAGACCAGACTGTCTAGGGCTCAAATAAAATCCTGTCTTTCGGGATCCTTGGGTGGCGCAGCGGTTTGGCGCCTGCCTTTGGCCCAGGGCGCAATCCTGGAGACCTGGGATCGAATCCCACTTCGGGCTCCCGGTGCATGGAGCCTGCTTCTCCCTCTGCCTGTATCTCTG